CTATCCGGCTGTTGGAGGTAGATGTCAGATTGGAGGGTAGACATTCTGTCTCGTAGTAAACTTCAAGTCGTCAAGCAATTGTAGTCGTCACATCTCGAGGGCTGCAACCTTACCGACCGGACTTCAAATGCATCCATACGGGCACCACTTGCGTCAGATATGATTGCTGGTTCACCCCTGGTCGACCATAGCGAAAATGTTCCCAGCTCTCAATTATCTGGACTGCAGAGAGAACAGGTGCTTTGATGTTTCCACAACACTCACCTCTTTTGCCTAAGCGGGTGCTGTTCAGGTGGTTGACATGGATCTGAGCGCCATGAAAGGGTCACAGCTCGCTTACATGAAGCACTTGTTTTTGAGTTCCTGTGTCACAGTACCCCTTTTGGAGATTACACCTTGAAATTGCATCCGATCACATATCCTTGTTCAGGTGTGCGACTAAAGCTCGGGAACTATTCCCAAAACTTTATTATATTCGCTATTTTCTTCCCATTTTTTCCTTCATAACCGCTTCACCCAGGGGGTGGGTTGGAATCGATATTGAATCATTTTGCAACATTCTCGGGAACGCTTCTAATAACGATCGTTGTCGGATGAATGAACACTTACCATATTCTGATTCTGCTGTATGGGTTGCGTAAGCGCAAGTATTTTATAGCTCAACTGTGACGTCAGCTGAAGTCTGTTCGATAATATTGATCTGTCTTAACTAGGTATAGGTGTTTCCATGAGCGGAAAGCGGACTACGTGACGCCTCTTGCGCTGTTCACGCGACACCGACGAAGAGCTTCGGGAGCCGTTAGTGAAGATGAGAGAACCGCTTAGAAAAAGTCAATCATTGAGAGCGATGGCTGGTGAGCGCATTATAGTCTCCTATAGAACAATTTTTCTTTAGTTTTGATCACTAGTAATGGCCTGGCACTTAACCTCGATTATTCAGCACCAGTCGTGGCCCTAGCCCGTCAGCTCGCTGAATTGAATGCTGAACAAGTTGCGAATTCGGAAAGGAGGGCGGTCAAAGAGGAAACTCCTTCTCCAATAGCTCCATCCCCTGCTTCCTCTCAGCTGTCTACAGGATCCCAAGAGTTCCAAAATACTGGAACAACTGGTTTGTTTACATCGCATGGTTCTCATTTTAATCACAAAATTGATGTTCCTGAGCCGCCGTTTGGTTTTGCAGGCAGTGAGAACATTCATGTCGCCAAGGGAGCTCCCCACTACCAGAGCACGCAGGGCACGTTAGGAGGGCGAACACGAGGTCGTCCATCCTTACCGCAAGGTTTTAATTAGCCCCATGTTCGACTGAGAGATTGTTTTAAAGCGGATTATTTTCACATTGCAGCCGTTATGCGCACACTAACTCAATCAAATGAGATCTCGCTGGAGCACTTAGGGGAAGCGTTGTCACACTTCGACACCGGTCAAGATTACAATGTCTGTTTCTTTTCTATCAACAAAGCTCTTTCAGAATACGCTCCAGCAAGCTTCAGGAATTTATCACACACTTCGCGCATGCGAGGGAGTGTCGCGTCAACGTTGGAGAAACTAAATTGCTGCAAATGGCTTCTGCGGACGTACCACAGTCATCAGATTCCGTCGTTCGTTCTCATTGGCCCTAATTGCGAGACACTCGGATGCAATCGTGGGAATAGCAGCAATTGTTAGTTATCATACTGCCAACTTCTCGTACCACACGAAATCGTTCATTTGTCCCATATTACAGTTTGACGGGAGGGGGGCGTCCTGATCCGTGTGTACCAAACAGTTACATGATCGCAGAGGCCGCCTCGCTTCGAAAATGTTGACCCAAGTTGCGAATGAACTCTTTTGGCACGCACGAACTTGACTATGGCAAGTAGCATGCCGCGTCGTAACCCATTTAAGTAGATTTTGCCGCTTTCAGTTGAGCAGTTTTGGTGCAGCAATGAGATGTTAGCGTCCTCATTTCATGCAACAAACTTGAACGACTTGATGGAGAATTGGAGACGTACGTTGCGAGCGCGTCCAGAGGATCACGCGTCACAGTGTGTCGATTTTTTCAGGCAGTACTTTCTTCAGATGAGTTTTATGACCGCTCGACCATAGAATAGCGACCACTGTAACGAAGTTCAGTACCCCTTCTGCTTAGGCGTGTGATCCTGTACATGTTATCCAAGAGTACACGTACCGAATGTCTGGTAGATATCAAAAGAAACCCAATCTCAAAGACCTCCCAGCCGATGTAGCTGATTCATTGATAGGTCGGTTACACTAGAATGAATTGCCAGATATAGCATTGCCAGAAGTCTGAGCTTTTTTGTTAGGATGTTGCCTCGACGGCTTGAACTTATATGCCTCTGAAATGGATGCCAATGTGGAAGGCCAAACTCAAAATTCCACTAGGTGAGGCAGAATGGCTGCTAGAAACTGCATTTAAAATCCATTTTCAAGCTTTCTGGCTCACTCTTAGGAACAATGATGCAGCACGAGCTAAAGCGCTCCACACACAAAACTTGCGCATGTGTTGGGGACCTATTCTCCGAGGCGCACTCTGCGCGAGCTCTGTGGGTGTTTTCACTTAGACGAAAACTTTAAGTAATATGATCTAAACTTCAACAAGTCGAAATCATTTAACTGATTGCAATTGTTCAGGGCCGACATCAGACAATACGTACTCAAAAACGACCGCCTCGTGCCCCGTCCCTGTAAGACTTTGTCTCATTGTCTGCCAAGTAGACTTTCATGCAACAAACAATGACTGTTTTAGAAGAGGCAGTTTGCTGATTCCTGCCAAATTGAGCAAACACAAACACCCCTGGGTGAATACGGAAAGAGGGCTTGTCCTGCACACAGATTATCGTTCAAATAGCTCATGTCGCACACTTTTCACTGAACTATTCATCTCGGCTCACCTATTTTGATGATCGATTTTCTCACGTCCTAGAAGTAAATGACAGATGTTTCGCTGGTCCGTTTTTCTAACACTTATCAAGAAGTATCCTATTTTTTGGACGCGCTGGACCAGCTTCAAAGTGCATTTTTTTAAATCGGGGCGGGGGGGTGGTTTCCAGAACCCTCGTCCTGTACTACTTGATTCTTTGGTCGATTCCATCGTCTTGTGGCCACTTGGTGATCTCTCAAAATTGCTACCGCAGAGAAGCATGGATCAATCGCCCAAAATTGTCTTTATAGTGCTCAGGCTTCGCTAGCAGAATCACCATTAGCGTGCGGGATTTCTCCTCGTTATGGCGCATATCTTTCCTCTGGCTGCTGGGAACAAGTGCGCTGGATACAGGTCTTTTCCACACAGATTCGTAGTATAAACTGCTGGATGCACTTCAAGGATACCCACCTAGAACTTCACGGTGCCTATGTTGACTGGTCTTATTCCTAGACACTTTTATAGCCGACAGTGAAACCGTTGGAAACAACTCCCTTGGTGGAAAAAAAGCTGTCGTCTTTCATGTCGAAACTGGAAGATAACTTGGGCGTGAGTACCAGCAACATTATTTGCTATTGTTTCGGCTACTTTTCCAAATGAAAAACGGACCATGCGATGATTAACTGTACTTTGAAAATTTAACATGCTTCACACATATGCACAATGTTTTAAAATTTGATCTTCTTCACTAACAATACTCATCGATCTATTGATGTGACTGTATTATGTTTGCTTTGTATGTTGCGATGTTTTTGTTGTAAGTACCCGATATATGCCCAAAAATTTGCTCTGGAAACCGGTAGGTATAAGCATGTACATGCAAGCTGGTCCACTCCTCCCACACCCTCGAATTTCTCACTGTTCTCAGGAAAAAACTAGTTTGTCCCGAGCTCAATGCATATTTTTTCGATGCGAAACGCCTTACTGCGTAACGCTTTTGGACGGAGTGTACGAATGTTTTTGGCAAAACCGAGCCCAGATTCGTGCTCAGCACCCCAGATTGCCCCGGGGTAGAAGTTTCTTTGGCTAAAACTTGAGCGAAATTCGAAATACTCTGAATTTCGGTCTTTTCGGCAAAACCGAGCCCAGATTCGTGCTCAGCACCCCAGATTTTCCCCGGGTAGAAGTTTCTTTGGCTGAAACTTGAGCGAAAATCGAAATGTTCGGAATTCAAGTCTTTTCGGCAAAACCGAGCTCGGATTCGTGCTCAGCACCCCAGATTTTCCTATGGTAGAAGTTTCTATGGCTGAAACTTGAACAAAACCAACTTCTTATTTGAAATACGCAATATTTGAAACTTTCGTGCAAAACCGAGTTCACCACTGTGATCAGCACCCTTGAAAACCCCCCTAGCCAAGTTTCCAGAGAAAATTAATTTTTGGACCTAAATCGGGTATGATCAGATGCTCGAAGATTTGTTTCCTTTGGTGCCATTAGGATAAAGGTGCATGTTTTACCGTTGTTTGGCAGTAGTTGTTTTACCGTTGTTTGGCAGTAGTACTGCCACTTGGCCACGAGTGGCCAATATTGGCCATATGCATATGCAGTATCATGGCAGTGACTGGCCATCAGCAGTTTGGCAGTAGTACTGCGGATTCTGGAGGGGCCTAAGGGGGGCCTAGGCCTTCCGAGAGGTGCGGTAGTGCTGTTCGCAGTAGAGGTCAGTAGCATAGGTTTCCAGCACCACAGCAGGACACCTGGGGTTTGATGTGCTGCCGACTTGCCATAGCAGGACATCTGCGGTATCTATGTGCTGCAGGCTTGGCCGGATATTCTGCGAGATCTCCGCCCATTTTTGCTTCAGCAGTCGGCTCCCTTGAGCCTTGCAAACCTCATGGTGCTGCCAAGGTGCTGCGGCTCTATCTGAGAACGTGCGTTGGAAGCGAAGCCGATTGCGCGCTTATATTCAGCACCCATTTTCATGCATTACGCTGGTGTGGTGCGTGGAACTGGGGAGAGAACTCGAAGCGGTTGTTTACTTTGTTGAAGGAATAACTTCACCAATGGACTGATTGTGATAGTGAACCGCTCACTCGTATATAAGGTCTAGAATCGGGTATGTTGCAGTTTACTAGCGCTGATGTCTCTAATCGGATATCCGACATCGATTGTGGTGGATGCCAACGGCGAGACCCAGATCTACACCCTCGTCAACACTGGCATGACGGATCTCGTGGTCAAGTTGCGCACCTCCAACAACACCGAATACATGTTCAAGCCAGTGTTTGCGTTCGTCAAATCAGGTGCGAGTCAGCGAATTGAAGTGATACGTAAGGTGAGCCTCAACACATTTACAGCAGATGGATAACATAGAAAACGTCATGGTTTTTGCAGAAAGGACCTCCTAAGACCGACAAGTTCATCGTTTTGTACGCAGTGATGCCTCCGGGTGCTACGAATCCGCAGACTTCTTTTCCTACTATGCAGAATGTTATCGGTCAAATCACAGTTGGACTATATGCTCTTTCTTAAGTGTTGAATAAACTTTGGATTTGGAAACGGGAGGAGCTTCATCATCTGTTGCATGCAAACCAATCCCCGGCGCTCATGTCCTTGGGGGGACATCCACGTGAGTGGGCCAAAAGGGACCATGTGGGAGCATGCGAGCAATTTGTGTTCTCCCGATGTTTCTCCCTTTGCTCGGCTCAGTCCTAGTCCCTACCATCGGCCCTGTTTTGAATGTCCCCTCCCACCTCCCCAAGGACATGAGCGCCCACTCCCCAAAGGTGGCGTACTTCTGGGGAATCGCGATTAGCGAAAAGTTGCCTGTTGAAATTTTCAAAAGCATTAAGGCTTCGACAGTTCCTACCCAGATCTCTGAACGGAAAAGCTGAAAGCCATGAAGATGGCAAATACGCCCAAATTCGAGCACATTGCAATCCATTCAGTTTCTAACTCCCACCACAGACGGTTCAGATCAATGCTTGGGTCAATTCAACTTGGTCTCATGTGTACTCAAATACTTCCCGTCAAAAATGATCATGACTTCTTTCCTCTGGGGTATTAGTGGTGCAGCATCGTGTGGTGCCGCTTAAGCATTATGATGCCAAGGTCGATTGCAGGGGCAGATTTGGCGCTCATGTCCTTTGGGGTGGGGGACGTTCAAAAAAGTGCCTATGGTACTTGAAAACAGGACTAAGCCCAGGAGATGGGAGAAACGTTCAGGAGAACACAATTTGCTTGCATCCTCTCCCAGAGTTCCTATACCTTCCTGGACTTATCGTTAGTCCCAAGTGCTCTAAGTGACCCACTCACTTGAATGTCCCCTCTCCCCTCTCTTGCCATCACCCTCAACGTCGTTGACCATGTGTTGAGTCAATAACAGAGCATCCCAGGTTTACTTCGAGGATAAGGACCTTGAGTTGTGGAGGCTCACCCTCACAAAAAACCAAATCAGCCGCTAAGCTATCCGATTTCAGTACAAATGCTGGGCGCTTAGGATCATGATAAGTAGTAAGAATAGACTATTTTACCATTGGCAGTTCATGTCGCGCGGAAGTTTGCAGAGGTGCACTATGGTGACCGATCCTTTTGAACGCACAGCCCAGCCCACACAGAAAGTCAGTTTTTGAGAGTGCTAGATTGAGTCGAATGACTTGAAAAGCGCTCAGCGCTAATGAACAATCCTACTATATATAATCGGCTAAGCGGTTGTGTGTGTGTGTGTGTGTTTGTCTGTCTGACCGGAAATTCATAACTTCGTTCCCTTTGGACCCAGAGCGCTCAAACTTCTAGGGTATATAGGGGGCTGGGCGTGAACACTGATGATGGGTGGCGGGAAGTGATAACTACTGATAGAAGCTGATAACGGGCGTCAGAATGCCGATGTCACCAACTTCGTTACGCCGTTCGCGTTGGCAGTGGATTGCTAGCACTCATGAATATTGTGTAGGGTAGGACTGGGACCCAAATGGTGAGCGAAGGAAAGTGATAGCAAATGATAAGGGCTGATAAGGGGCATCGGAATGCTAACGTCGTCAGTTTCGCAACGCCCTTCGCATTGACAGTAGGATGTTCGCACTCATGAATATTATGTGGGGTGAGGCAGGGACCAAAATGGTGAGTGAAGAAAGTGATAGCAAATGATAAGGGCTGATAAGGGGCATCGGAATGCTAACGTCGTCAGTTTCGCAACGCCCTTCGCGTTGACCCTAAGATGTTCGCACTCATGAATATTATGTGGGGTGAGGCAGGGACCAAAATGGTGAGCGAAGAAAGTGATAGCAACTGATAAGGGCTGATAAGGGGCATCGGAATGCTAACGTCGTCAGTTTCGCAACGCCCTTCGCATTGACCCTAAGATGTTCGCACTCATGAATATTATGTGGGGTGAGGCAGGGACCAAGAAGGGTGATTGGAAGAAGGTGGTAGCAACTGATAAGAACTAATTGGGTGCGTCGAAGT